ATACAATCAGAGATATAATATTAGAGGCAGAGACAATGGTTAATAATGAAAACATAGTAATGGATAATGCATGTTTGTTGGACTGTCGTATGTTATTTATTTTATATTATATCATTACAAGCCAATAGTCATAATTTTTTAATTATAAGAAACAACGCAGCTCTTGTACACTTGAAACCTTGAATATTTTAGTTATCAAATTATTTTCATTCCACAAACAAAAATGTTACCCTCCTCTGAATTTGTTTACCTAAATTTGCTATCTTAAAAGCACATCTGGAAAATCCTCCACCGACCCTTTTACTTACCTAACCAAGAACCAGTACTTGAATACCTACATTGCTCGAAAAAGGTTAGTAAGAGTAAATATTCTATTTCTTACAAATTGATTATACACATTATTTTTTAGTTTGCGTAACTTATTACATAATTAATTTTTCTATTTCATGTATCATCCATCATCCATTATTAACCATTATCTGTCATATAATATTATATCTGACTGATGACCCACACGTTCGGATTGAAACGTCGGCATTAATAAAAACCTTAAATATGACTGCGTCCTGACTATTTATGACCCATAAATAATAAATTAATTAATTTAATACAGAAATAAATAACAATGATGTTGTTTTTCTTATCAAATCATTAACTGAAATTATTTTAGATTACAAAAAAATCATTTATTTAATAACGATAAAAACTAAAAAAAATAGCAAAGTTAAATTTAATTCTAATTTTCCCCACCTCCTTCTGAAAAGAATAATCTGCCCCAAAATGGCGTCCAAAGATGGCGGATTGACGACTTTGACTTTAGTTAGTTTTTTGGTCACTGAGAATCAGCATTAAGCTTAATTTCCTCATAGTTGGTCTTTTATTAAAGCTGAATAGTTATAGAATAATAAAACATGAAGAAATATTAAAAAATAATTGGCTAAGGCTATGAAAAACATCAGTAAAGTAAATTTTTTTAACAAAAAAATTTTCAAGTTACAAATCAAACGTCGTTTGTAATTAAACGGCCTACAATAACGCAAAACGTGCTGAAATAAACCATCTGGAGAATATATTTCTCTTTCTGAAACGCTAATTAATTTTTACAAATGTTTAAGTAGTTCCGTAAAAAATGCACTTATGCGGCAGAAAAGCGGTACTGGCGTGGGTGCCTACAGGCCTCTACCACACCATTCAGTGCCCATAAATGGCTTAGTTATAGTGATATAATAACATTTTTGGTACATTATATTGGTTTTATTAACGAACAAATATTAATGCAATAATTTAATAGTAAAAAAAAAAATTTTAATTTAAAAAAAAATTTATTATTATTTTTTTAAATTTTAACCTCCTTTATTCTATACGTAGGTCGTTTAAGAATACCTCAATTGTAAAAATGGTATAATAATAATAATAAAACTTAATTAAAAAATATTTTGCTAAATATCTTGATTTTTTTTTATTTAACGTTTGCAATTTAACACTGTGTTTTGAATATTTACTGATTCTTAGAAGTAATTAAAATTTTTATATACTTCCCAGGAAATGAGTCATATTCATACCTTTTTTATAAACTAAAATAATATATACCTAATCTGAACTATATATAATGAAAAGCAACCGGTTTCTCTAGTAAAACTCATTTATCACTAATTAAAAAATTAATTTTTATTTCATCTATTTTGTGCAGAAGTTAGACTATATCATAAATAAATAGGAAATTTTAATATTGAATGAATTATTCTCTATGCACAAAGAAATATATAAAGGGTGACCCTATAAGTTCTTCTATAAACCAAAACTGATTGTTTGGATTTGATCTCAAAATGAGGAAAAACGTGAACTTAAACGAGAAAATTGGAAAAATACATTAAGCGAACGAGAAAGGAAGTGCCAAAACCTCGGAATAGATAAAAAGGACCAGTTATATCCATTATATAGCTAAATGAATGTATAGTAGATAGATGAACAGAATATTTCAAGATGCTGCTAAAACGGGATCAATTGCAGTATGGATGATATTAAGTTGACGATGTAGGTTTATTATGGTGAAAACCACTTTATTTTCGATTGCTGAAGGTGCACATCGGGACTATATTAACTTTGAAGATGAATATAGAGATGTACATCGAGAAAGTTATAGCTCATAGCTTTCCTTCTGTTTAGTGGATTTTCAAAAGATTTTTTAAGGTATCTTATATTAGTTGTAGCTCGTTATTCTTCTTGTTATTCTTGAATTGTACGGAATTTGTACCATATCATAAAAAAATAGGAAATTTTAATATTGAATGTATTATTCTCTCTGCACAAAGAAAGATGGAAAGGGCGAAATCGAACTGCTTTGACAGTTTTGCGCGTACATAGGCAACAAGCATATTAGAAAATAATATGAAAGGACTGTGGTTTTTACCTTTACATGAAAGGAGGTACTAGGAAATGTAATACCCATCAAGACCCATTCCTGTTTAGTGTACCAAACAAATTATACACAAGAATCGTAGAAGCTGGAATAAGAAATATTGTCGATTGCCAGAGTGATATGGATTGAGAAACTCAAGTTGCACATTGGAAGAGAAGTTGAAAATTGGGACTGTCTTCACTTTAAGGCAGGTTATAGAGAAGTCCACATAAAAAGAAAAATAGCTCTCTATCTGCTCAGTGCCTCACACTTTGGATTATGCTAATATCTAACTGTCTTTCAGAAAAACTCGTTTTCCTTTTAGATTCCTTAAAAAATCTTTTGAAAATCCACTAAACAGAAGGAAAGCTATGAGCTATAACTTTCTCGATATACATCTCTATATCCTGCTTCAAAGTTAATATAGTCCCGATGTGCACCTTCAGCAATCGAAAATAAAGTGGTTTTCACCATAATAAATCTACATCGTCCACTTAATATCATCCAAACTGCAATTGATCCCGTTTTAGCAGCATCTTGAAATATTCTGTTCATCTATCTACTATACATTCATTTAGCTATATAATGGATACAGATCCATTTTATCTACTCCGAGGTTTTGGCACTTCCTTTCTCGTTCGTTTAATATATTTTTCCAATTTTCTCGTTTAAGTTCACGTTTTTCCTCATTTTGAGATCAAATCCAAACAATCAGTTTTGGTTTATAGAAGAACTTATAGGGTCACCCTTTATATATTTCTTTGTGCATAGAGAATAATTCATTCAATATTAAAATTTCCTATTTATTTATGATATAGTCCAACTTCTGCACAAAATAGAGGAAATAAAAATTAATTTTTTAATTAGTGATATATGAGTTTTACTAAAGAAACCGGTTGCTATTCATTATATATAGTTCAGATTAGGTATATATTATTTTAGTTTATAAAAAAGGTATGAATATGACTCATTTCCTGGGAGGTATATAAAAATTTTAATTACTTCTAAGAATCAGTAAATATTCAAAACACAGTGTTAAATTGCAAACGTTAAATAAAAAAAAATCAAGATATTTAGCAAAATATTTTTAATTAAGTTTTATTATTATAATTATACCATTTTTACAATTGAGATATTCTTAAACGACCTACGTATAGAATAAAGGAGGTTAAAATTTAAAAAAATAATAATAATAAATTTTTTTTTAATTTAAATTTTTTTTTTTACTATTAAATTATTGCATTAATATTTGTTCGTTAATAAAACCAATATAATGTACCAAAAATGTTATTATATCACTATAACTAAGCCATTTATGGGCACTGAATGGTGTGGTAGAGGCCTGTAGGCACCCACGCCAGTACCGCTTTTCTGCCGCATAAGTGCATTTTTTACGGAACTACTTAAACATTTGTAAAAATTAATTAGCGTTTCAGAAAGAGAAATATATTCTCCAGATGTTTTATTTCAGCACGTTTTGCGTTATTGTAGGCCGTTTAATTACAAACGACGTTAGATTTGTAACTTGAAAATTTTTTTGTTAAAAAAATTGACTTTACTGGTGTTTTTCATAGCCTTAGCCAATTATTTTTTAATATTTCTTCATGTTTTATGATTCTATAACTATTCAGCTTTAATAAAAGACCAACTATGAGGAAATTAAGCTTAATGCTGATTCTCAGTGACCAAAAAACTAACTAAAGTCAAAGTCGTCAATCCGCCATCTTTGGACGCCATTTTGGGGCAGTGCGTTCACTTTTTTTTGTGGGAACATTGGCTTTTCTTTAATAAATTGTTACAAGGAACACAACGATATGCAATTTATAGGGATGTGGGGGGGGGGTGCACGGTAAGGGGGTCTGGCCCACAGACTATTCAGGTTGCCAGGCAACGCGTGTATTGGAAACGCGTCAGAACGCTCGTCCACCCCGCCTCAAGAGATATTAATATTTATGAGGATATTACTTTCATATGTTATATATCAGTTAAATCTAGCTCAAAACATAATTTATGAATTATTAATTTCTAAAGGAAGTCTGAACGCCATGGATAAAAAAAAAACATCATTTAGGTTTGTTATAATTATATTTTTCAATAAATATACTAAACATAAAACCACACTATGATGGAACATAAACAAGTCTAGTAATGCGTTTAGCAATTCTTAATGATTTGCTTTAAATTAAATAAGCAGCGAGTCAGAAGCAAAAATAAAATTTACAAAATGGGGGTTAAACAAATAATAATTAGATGAGGCATCTTAATCCAAGTTAAAATTAATAGACAAATAAAAAATTATTTTCTAGGTTGGGGGATTTGTAATAATATTCCATATATTTTCAATCCTTATAGACTTCAGGATATGTATCAAAAAGATCTTTATTTTCGAAAATGGAAAAAAGATCAGTCATCATTATTTAGTTTTATCTATATATTAAAAAGAAGAAAAGTATATTTAACTAGGTTGTTAAATGAGCTTCTTAAATCATTAATACAAAATCTTATTTATTTATTTATATATATATATATATATATATATATATATATATATATATATATATATATATATATATATATATATAAAGCATGCGGACTTACTCACCTGAGTATGTTAGGATGGGAGAGCTGGTTCATGAGCTGGACTTCCTTCCTCATATTCGGCCTGTTCGACCGGAGGAGATTCATCTTAAGCACCATCACCTGTTTGGTCGTCTTGTGGCAGACCTAGAAATAATAAAAAAATGCATTAAATACAAATATATTAACGTTTTTTCTCCTATCCTTTAAGAATATATAAAGACAAAAATCAATAAATCAAAACTTATATAAAACAAATAGTCTTATTACAGAAAACGCAAGGTATGGAACATAAGCAGGTAATAAACAAGATATTTAAGATCGAAATTCTGGTGCGGTGCCCGCATCACACAACTTTCAGTTACCACACTCTTCTTAGCAGAAGTAAGTATATTTTCAGACTAAGAGGAAGTGAAAGTAAAAATTATAAACACTATATTGATTAATATTTTATTGTGGATATTTTTATTTGTTTAAGTACCCTCATATATACGAATTTTAATATCTATATCGCTGTAATCTATACAAGTAAATATTAAATAATTCCAACGAAAACATTTAGGAAAACCGCATATGTATTTGTTTTTAATATTGCCGGAGTCCGTATTTTATTATGATCATATTAAATACGGAAGCTTGTTCTAATCTTCGGGCCAGCTTGGGTGATAATTCTCAGTCTAGTACTGAGCTGAGAGGAAAAACAAAATGAACTGACATACAAAGTCAGCGAATTATTTTTAGAAGAGAACGTTGTAAATAAGAAATCGTAAACAGGATTTACGAAATGGAATAAAACATAAGGTAAATTTGGCCATAATGATGGAGAGGAATTACTACTCGCCAGTTATGCTCATTTTTACGCTCGACAAAACCTTCAGTGCTAAATCCGACGCAGCAAGCTCAGCCTTGGTTTATTCATGAAATTTTAAATCAGGAATTTTCATCTCGTCAATTTGTTACTAAATTAATCAACTCTTTTCAGATCTCTTAATTGATTTTTTTTTATTGGATTGCCAAAATCATCAAATCAGAATAACTAGAAGACCAAAACAAAATCATGATAAGAAAAAAATGTAAATATCTGTAGACATATAAATTTAAGACAGAATGTGTTCAATCGCTTTATTCGTAAACGCATAGATGTATTCTTTAATACAAAAACATATATCAATGATGTAAGAAGAAAGAGTAATGTGATAATCATTTGATTCCTCTTTATTTTATTTTATTAAAATTCAGATATAACATTAAATATATTTTTAGATATAACATTAAATGCATTTTTAGATATACCATTGAAGCCTTTCTGGATGAACATTAAATAAAGTACTGTTGTTTTATATAATTTTATATAATGTAGTGAAAATTTGTATAAAATTGTAGTGAAAATTTTATGTAATTTATTTTTTAATCTTTTTTTACACATAATTTTGATGATACTGGCTTATTAAATAAAAATTTGATTTATTAATATTAAGTGAATCATATTTTAAAGGTATGTTTAAAATACACATTCTGATATTAAGTGAAAAATTATAACAACCCTAGAATAGTTTGTCAAAGAGAGAATAACCTTAATAAGAAAGTAGATACTGGTTGTAATTTACGATGTATTTTAAAATATAGCAATAATTGCATTTTGCCAAATAAGACATATAGCAAACTATATCAAATTCTGTTTAGTAAAATAATATAGAATTGCATCAAACCTTAAAACAACCTTGTTTCATAATTTTTTTTTTCTTTGTTCAACTTGTATCCCGTATTTTTTGTCTGAATCCTATATTATACACAACACGATTATTTTGCAATAAATAAATAAAAAACATTATCAGAAAGTTAAAGATGTTAAAAGCCGGTTAACGACTCCTCAAAGCTGAACAGTGTGCAATAAAAAGCTCAACTCCGCTACACCAATAAAAAATATTCGCGACTCTCAAATGAATTACTTTATCCTCGATGCGATTAAAATAACTCAAACATAAATATTTATTGAGTAATTAATAATGAACGTATGTGTGAGTTAATGCAAGGCTCGTATAATCATGCTTTGTATTCTAACAACACATTTCCTTCTGTTGTTCTATGTGTGTAAGTGTGACTACTTAGTTTTTATTCAATAATGTGTTACTATGTGCATGTAGTAGACAATGGTGTCTACTTCCGTACACTAATGCAAATTATATTACGCCGCAAATAAACCCGGCCTATTTTTACGATTACAACTATGTAACTCAAAAAGATTTTTCACCACCAAATAATTTATTAAAGAGGAAAAAATAGTGAAAGATCATAGATACTAATAGTAAACAGGAAAATATTTGTGCCCTATAAAGGACACCATATCTATTTTTTATTAAATAATTTAGTAATTTAGAAAAAAATGTTAATAAGTCAAAGTTATCGAAAATTGGCTTCCTAGACAAATACAATAATTTGATTCATACAAAGAGTATGAATCTGGTCTCTGAATACTATTATAAATGTCCTTAATTGTGACAGATTGTAAAATTTCTCAATAAATACATTTTTTTTTTAAATTGCTCGAAATTATGGAAAAAAGGCTTTTTAATATTCAACATTATGATTAATAAAAAACATATAGGACACATTAACTAGTTTTAAGAGTAGTGTAAATAATTTTCGAGAAAATTTTCCAAAAACCTTTTGTTTCACTGCAGAACATACATGAACATGAAACTATATATTGTTTGTCTACAATTAAATCTCAAAACGTCGCTAAAATATTGCTACATATTTAAAAAATCTGTTGGGCGCATCACAGGAGTTTTCTTACCCTACATTTATATTTATTTACAATTCATTGTGGGTATTTTTATTTGTATAAGTACCCTTATATATACAAATTTTAATATTTATATCGCTGTAATCTATACAATTAAATATTAAATAATACCAACAATAGCATTTATGAAAGCCGCATATGTATAAGAATATAATATAGTCGGAGTCCGTATTATATGAAGCTCATGTTACGTATGAAAAGCCTTTTATAATCTTTCGGGCGAGCTCGGGCAAGCTCGTATTCCTTTAATTCCTCAATTAGAACTATTATCCGTTACGACCTCTTATTTCTCCTTTAGTTAATTATCAAATTCTTTCATATTTTATATTTAATTATTTTTTACATCAAAAATTAATGTGAAATAGTTCAATTTTTCAAATAAAAAAAAATGAAGATACTTTGGTGGAAGCCAGTACGATGATTAGACATAAGCCCTGATAGAGAACATCAATGAGAATAAGAACTACATTATATTAAAAACTGCTTAATAATACACTGATATACCGAGTTTAATCCAAATCGTTAGAGTCGTTTTTGAGAAAATCGTAAAAATGTGTTAAATCGATAATATAAAGTACTATTTCCGGTTTGCCGATTTTTACGAAAATGTTACTGTAACATCGAAGGCTTATAAAAACCTTAAATATGAAATTTCAGTATCATAAGACTTTTCGTTTTTGAGCCTGACTGATATACACACACAGATCATTGTGCGGGACATGGTTATTTGGACTCAGGAGACCTTAAAACATGTAATTCCGTAGAAAATTCAGATTCGAAAATTTCAAGATCACAATACTTACCTTTACTATATATTAAATAATAGGTAAATGAAAGTAAAAACAAATCAATATTTAAACCACTTAACCTACCTATTTTATTGAGACAGTATACATTCATACTTATGTATAAGTCAATGATAACAAAAACCAATATTTGTAATTATAACAATATTTTGTTGAATAATAAAATGAGTTATTATCAATCTAATTTGCCTTTACAGATTCAAGACACGTATCTTATTAGATGTGATAATTTTAATGATTGAACCATTAACAAAATATAATGGGTAATGGATTAAAGGAGGAAATTACCAAATCCAAAACAAGGTCAAGCAAATATATTACTTATTCACCGTCATAGTAATTGTATGTTAATTGAAAATATTCAGGAAAACAAGTAAAATATATTTCTTGAAAAATAATTAACATATAATTACAATAAATACATCAGCAGACAGGAAACAATAAATAAATTTTAAAAAACTAGAGAAGTGAAAAGAAAGATAATACTTTCTGTACTAAAAAACAAAGAAAAGAAATTGTAATTAAAAAAAACAACAGAAATTGGAAAAATTTTGTTCACTCTCAGGGAATGAACTTCCATGTGTACTGATACATTTTAATAGATTAATAGAGAAATTAATATCTACGAATATTTAAACTTGGTTTAATAGTCGGGTGTCTCTCACTACTCATTACATTAGAAATATATTTCGTTCCGTGTATCGGTACGATAGGTGTGATAGGAACCCGACTACTAACTAAACTAAGTTTAAATATTCGTAGATGTCAACTTCCCAACTAATCTACCAAGAATTTCTCAATTTCTGTAGTCGCTTTTTTTTTTTTTAATTAAAATATTTTTTATTTTTACCTTTTTTAATTTTTAAAATATTAACAATTTCAAAATACGTGATCACAAGATATCATTTCAAAATCAATTAATAATTAAGATATTTAACCTATAGTTCAATTTTTTTTAACGTATTTTGAATTTAAATTATTTCAAAACATTCACGGGATCTAACTGAGTAATTACAGTCGTCAAAGTTAAAAATCTATCATGTCGTATCTTTACGTACTTCTAGCGGATCGATTAATCACACTTTACACAGTAATTTGACAGAATTTTGATCTCAAATTGCTTCAAAACACTCAGAAGGTTTTACAGAATAATTCGAGCTATCAAACTTTAAAATCGATCCAGCGGTTCGCTCAAAAAAGCGTTACATAGCTTTTAGTGGACGATCCAAACACATAACCTTCGTTTCGCTTCGATTAGTAGAGTAATAACAAATTCCCTATTCTACACAAATAACTATATAACAGACGAAAACTAACTGATATCTTCCCAACACAATTATTTATTGAAGACGGCATCGTCACAAGGTTCAAGTTAGAAAATGGCTAAAGCATAGTGAAAAGAAGCTAGCTAGGAGAGAGCAGTCACATATTTTAACGTCAGGTGATACCGAAAGTTTCATATTTCTTCTATAATTTATTTGTCACATCAATATTTTCTATTCTTTTTTTTTTAATGTATTATTAAGTTATGTTAA